TTAGTAGTCTAAAGTTTGCTGGTACAGTCAAGAAAGGCTAAAGATACACAGTAAAAGAGGTCCAGACAGAAAAAAACCTCTAAACAGTTTCCAGTGTGTTTTACAATGTGTGTAGGCTTAAGAAAGAAAGAAAAGGGGTAAGGACAGTCATAGAAACAAAGTTTAAAAATAACAAGGCCTTAAAGAGAGAAGTAAAAATAATAATAATAATAATAAAACGAATAAGCCACATAAAGATGAGAAATGCACAGGGAGTCTGGATCCTGTATGTTAATGTTTTGACTTTGAATGTTTTGAATGCTGACAAGCAAACAACAGCTGCTGAGGGACATGGGGTTGTGGACTGGACTGCTAACTGAATCAACCTAGATACTTTAGGAATGCCTTAACCTTAAAAAAGAGGTCAAAAAATATATTTGTCAAATGGAAATCAAAAATGCTTTCAAGTTTTGTTCCCACAGGAGACGAGAGGTTATGGATTCCTTCAGAAATAATATGGATCAGGTTTGATCAAAGGAGACCTCCTGAATCTTGACAGGTGATATCTATCCACAAAGGTTATAGATGGTCTTCCCAGGACTTGGCCATTATCTCAAATTTTCTCAAGGACCCTAAAGATACTTTGTCCACAGACAGCAGGAAGTGGTTTGGAGAACGTGACACCCATATTCCCAAGAGGTGGGTAGAATGGTATTTGGTCATTCGGTGGGTTATGGATGTTTGTCATCCTTTATAAGTGTTGCTTGTTAATTGTTTCTGGTATTGGCAAGGGAGGAAACTATACAAATGAGATTACATTCAGGGATCTCTTTCAAAAAAAAAGGAGGAGGAATATAGAAGTGATAAGATAAAAGGGTATATTATTGAATCTACTTTAGATAGTAGGGTAGATTACTGAATCTACTGTAAACTAAAGAACAACTATAAATTCAAATTGTATTTGTAGGGACATTTGTATATTGATACAAATTTATAATTTATGTTATAACACTGTAAATATGTTTCTACTCTTGTTTAAAGGATTTGTATATTGATACAAATTTAAGGTAATTTTTGTTACAATACAGTGTATATATGTTTCTACTCTTGTTTAAAGGATTTGTATATTGATACAAATTTAAGGTATTTTTTGTTACAATACACTGTATATATGTTTCTACTCTTGTTTAAAGGATTTTTGTATATTGATACAAATTTAATTTTATTTTTGTTACAACATATTATATATATGTTTCTACTTTTGTTTAAGGTACTGTACCTATGCAGTTCATTTAAAATATAAGGTAAAGTTCTAGTTTTTGAAAGCTATTATTATAAACAACTTAGCATAATCAAGAAACAGGTTAGTAGTTAGTCACCTATAACAATCAAATTTGTAGATTATGTTAGGCATGTTTTCTAGATCATAAAGAGATATATTTTAGATAGATAAATGGTTTTCAAACACTTCAAAGGCCTATAGAATATGGCATTTAAAATGTTTAATTAACTTAAGGTTTTTCATGACAACGAGACACATCTGCTTAATGTACTTCATAATGTACTTCAGAGAAGATGATGGGCATTGAAGAAACTCCTAATGGAGTTTGCTTTCATTGTGGCGAGGTTAGCCACTGGGCAAAGAAACTGTTCTTTCCTTTGATTGCTGACAATGTGCTGTGCAGACTGGACATGCAGGACCTACAGGAAAATGACTGTTGAACTTTGCCCAAACAAGGTAGGATAATCCTTCAAAATTTCTGCTTCACAAAAGAGTCTGCCAGATGTTCTGCAAGAAGGACACAGAGGAAAGTGACTGACGAACTTTGTCAATACAAGGCAGGACAGTCCTTCAAATTTCCTGCTTCATTTAAAAGTTTGCCAGATATTCTGAACCTGTAGGTTGAAGATGAATGCCCCAACATTGCAGAGGAACTTTGAGTGACTGTCCAGGCAGCCAAATGTCTCTGTTGTTAGATAATATTACATCCTTCTGGGTCTTTGATGGAGCTGAAGACTAAATAGTTATAGTTGCAGTTTTCCTTAGTTATGATAGAAAGTTAGGTGTAAAACTTTGGAGTAAGATAGGATAGATAATGCATTATTTTCTCTGAATATGCTAACTATAAATGTACAGAATATTGTAAATGTAATTCTTACTTGATAATTGTTTTTGTTGTATGTAGTTTTACTATGTTAACATTAAAACCTTTCATTTTTATTTAGACAAAAAGGGGGAATATTATTTTAAGATGTGTTAGCCAGGTGGTGGTGGTACATGCCTTAAATTCCAGCACTAAGGAGGCAGAGTTCTGCTATTCGAATATTTCTGTGAGTTCAAGGCCAGTCTGGTCTACCAAGTGAGTTCCCGGACAGGTTCCAAAGCTACGCAGAGAAACTCTGTCTTGAAAAGCCAAAAAGAAAAAAAAAGGGGGGGGGTGTATTACATTTGTTTATGCTGTGGAACATTTGTTTAACTCTGTGAAGCTGTGTTACTATGCCTGTCTAAAACACCTGATGGTCTAATAAAGAGCTGAACAGCCAATAGCAAGGCAGGAGAAAGAATAGGTGGGGCTGACAGGCAGAGAGAATAAATAGAAGAAATCTGGGAGGAGAAAAAAGAGCAAGAGAGATCAAGGAGTGAGAAAAGAAGGGGTCAGCCACAAAGTAAGAGTGAAAGTAAGATATACAGAAGTAAGAAAAGGAAAAGGCCCAGAGGCAAAAGGTAGACGGGGATAATTTAATAAAAGTTGGCTAAAAACAAGCCAAGCTAAGGCTGGGCATTTATAATTAAGAATAAGCCTCCGTGCTTGATTTATTTGGGAGCTGAGTGGCAGGCCCCCTCCAAAAGTCCAAAAGAGTAAAACAAAACACAACACAACAGGCAGATCACTCTGCAAGCCCGGTATTTATGTTCTGGGGATCTGAACTCTGTCTGGTCCTCCTGCTTGAGTATTTTATCCACCGAGCTAAGTCCCCAGACCCACACACCACCACTGCTACTAAGAGCTAGCAGTGATTTGTACACTTATGTTTTTTTTTTCTTTTTCCCAAAACAACTGGAACCAGAAATAGCAAGCTTATTTCAAGAAAGCTATCTTCTAAAAAGTAGGGAAAAGGGCTGGCCACTTCTCAGTTGGCATTCCACTCCTGCTGAGGGAAGGGAATGCCACCTCATTCTCCGTCAAAGGACAACAGTGTGGACATAGCAGTTCTGAATTCCTAGGACTCACAGTAGGAAGCCAGTAACTTGAGGTGCATTAGAACGTAACACATAATTCTTCTTTCTGGAAACCTTCATCAGAGCAAAAGGATGTTAAACCCGTAATTACAAAAGAAGTCCAAAGTTAACCTTGAAGAGAGGAGAAACCAACTGCAAATTTTCAAGGCACAACATCTTGAAGCGGATCTATCTATTGAGGACCTGAGGCACAAAACCAAACCACCAACCCTGGGCTGAGAATAAAGGAACAAAAATGGGCATGAAAGCTTCCTACTGTCTCTGCTGTTTCCCTTTTAAAAATCCATCTATCTTCATGTCTGACTGAAGAACGCCGCGAAAATGGCACCATCTTGCTAATGCAACAAAGAACCCCTTCCTTTGCTCCAAAATCGTAAATTTTGTGAAGCAAACAGACTGGAAGGCAACACTTGGTCAAAAGTACAGCAAGCAGGGTGAGGTAGCCTAGCCTTTAACCCCAGCACTTGGGAGGTGCAGGAGACTGCAGTAAATTCGAGGCCAGCCTGGGCTACACAGTTCTGACCCTGTCGCAAAACAAAACAAAGCAAAACAGTACATAGAAAGGCAAGGTACGAGATAAGAAGCCAGACCCACCTCCAACTCCTGGTTCCTACAAGACTGACACAAAGCTCACTGCTCATTTCCCTAACTCTGCGCCAGCCGTCCCCATCTTTTCCCCAAGGTACTCTTGAGGAGCAAAGGATGAGAGATTTAGATAGAAATATTTAGGGGAGAGGAGACAGAAACATGGGATAGCCTCAGAAGGGCCTGGATCCTTATGCACTGGCCCAGAACTTTATTCAAAAGGCTTTTTATAACAGTGCCAACAAACAGGCAAAAGACCTCCCCCTTGCTAAATACAACCAAGTGTAGACCCTTCCAAACACCTGGTACCCAGGCCTGTGGTCCAATCATCCTTTTATACAGCCCTGCTGGTAAAGCAAGCTCAGCTCTCACTAAGAAACCTCTGTGGCCTCCAACACCTATCTGCGTGTAAAGCGCCCTTCATCTTCCAGAACTATTTTCAGTTTCTCCCCTAGCCACGGGTATTCTTAAATTTTAGATGCCGGCAATACTCACCGAAAAATACGGTTGGGTGCGGATGGCTACTAATGGACAGAAACAGGTTATCCAAGGTGTAATTATGCCACGTTTTCTGATTAGCCGGCAAGATAAGATTTTATCTGCTATTTACTGCGAGCAAATTCCAGCTAGTTTACTTTCAAAATCTTACGCAGTTCAGTGATGTCCCTCCCCTCCTTCAAGTACTTAAATGACACATCAATGCATCAGACTACAGTCACCCAATTTAAACGCATAAACGGAGGTCCTCTTCATCTCCTAAGCATACTGCCTCTCTTTTCCTCCCAAGTATTTGTCATATTAATAAAGTTAATATGGATAAGTACATATGCATATACAAAACACATACATGCTGCATATCTCGCGTGAAGTAAGCTTCAGGGGAAAAAAAAAAGATTTTGTTGAACTAATTACCCCAAACAGTTAGTAAAGTGCCAGGCACCGAATGGATGACAGCGGGCCAAGAATGAATCAATACAGTTTGGAATCATATCAAAGCGCAATACCATCCCTTCATTCCCGGATCTGCTCCCCTCGGACCTGCACGCCTGGGCATCCACTTCCAGAACTTTCCCCACTTCTCCCTGGCTCCAACAGGTGCGCAGGGGCAGACCCGAGCATGCTGTCAGCGGGTGCCCTCCCATGCGGGCAACCTGGGCGCAGGCAACCTGGGTGACCCGTCTCCCGCCCGCCTCACCTCTCCGGCTGCTGGCCAGGGCGGCCACACGCCCGACGCCCAGCGGCAGACGGCCCTGCGCG